ATCATTGCATTCAACATGTAATTATATCACCTGCAGGACAAAACAGCGAAACAATTTCAGGCACTTTGCCACATTCAGAACCTGACGGCATCTAATGATATTTCAACAGACCCAGGTACATGTACCTGTACTGCATGTACCCCCTTAACAGAATAAATATATATTACAGTATTTGCTGATAGGGGCGCCCTTCCTCTTTCTTGGGCACTTATTGAAATCAAAGTAAGCACCCCCTTTCCCAAAATTCCCTCGTTCTGGCCTTTTTCGTTTATCAAATATATTACTATACACTTTATATCAGATACTTTACAGTTTTGCATCCCAACAAGAATTTTTTCCTGTGTTTAAAAATGAATCCACCATTATGCCATCTTTGCTTGTTATCTTCATAAGTGCCCCCTTCAACCACTTTGTCAAGTGCCATTAGCCCCAATTATGGCAAATACATTATTGGTATGATGATATTTGTTTTTATCTCCATGTTATAAAAAAACATCAGGTTATTTAAAGCAGTGTCTTTTAACAGGTGATGCATATAAAAACACAAGTTGATGCTTTATATATATATAGGAGTCCATCATTACCAGACCAGAGAGTCTAAGATTTCGAGGACCTTAAATGATTTTTATTTTTTATTTTATTTTTAGTCTCTGTCAAGTGCAACCATCATGCAGTATTGCAGATTGCTTCGAGAGCCGCGTAATCAGGGTGTAATGGTAACGTTAACACTGACATTCTATATCATAAGAGGTATCTTCATGTGTCAAATTTTACATCATAAGGTCTGTATACATATTACACATAGAGAATGCACTGACTCACCATTCCCTTACACTTTCAATACAATTACTAACACCCAGGACTAGTAAACTTTGTCAGGTCTAGTGAAAAATTCAATATTACTATAACAAGAGGCCCATGGGCCTTAACAGTCACCTGAGTCCTACAGTATTTATTTTTGTTGTTGAAATATGTACCAATTTGAGTAAAAAATAGTTAAGTATAATGTTAACTTAACTTTGTCAGGACCATGAGCTGATCATTCCTAGACCGATTTTCAGTGAGAACGGCCTATTAGAACTTGTTTTTAAGTTTGAAATAGGTATTTACAAAATAGCGGCCATGGCAGCCAAATTGTATTTCTGATTGACCCGAAAAATAACAACACTTTGTCAGGACCATGAGTCGATCATTTCTACCAACTTTCAATTCAATCTGCCCAGCAGAACTTGACTTTAAGTTTGAAATAGTTTTTCAAAATGGCGGCCGTGGTGGCCATATTGGATTTCTGATCGACCCGAAAAATAACAATACTTTGTCAGGACCATGAGGTGATCATCCCTACCAACTTTCAGTTCAATCGGCCAAGCAGAACTTGACTTTTAGTTTGAAATAGTTTTTCAAAATGGCGGACGTGGCGGCCATATTGAATTTCTGATCGACCCGAAAAATAACAACACTTTGTCAGGACTATGAGGCGATCATTCCCACCAACTTTCAGTTCAATCGGCCCAGCAGAACTTGACTTTAAGTTTGAAATGTAAAATGTTAACGGACGATGGACGAAAACGGATAGCAATAGGTCACTTGAGCTAAAGCTCAGGTGACCTAAAAACATAGCTCCAGCTGTGGCAAAATCTGCCTGAACGCTAGTTCTAAAAACATGAAATAATTCCTGTTCGAATAAAGTCAGCCAATATCAGTTTACAAGGTCCTGATCTGACAGAGTTCTCATACATATATATCCTTTTACAAGTAACTTCTGATTCCATGAACCATTTTAATTTCCTTACATAAATACCCAGTGTTCCTAAATCTTATCCTTGACTATTTGTGTTCCTAATTTTAATTCTGTGTACTCATTGAACAGGTGTCACCCCTGACAGATACACTTCATATGCATGATCACCATGGACGTGCCTCAAGGCACAGCCTACCAAATATATACATATACAGGTGTAAGATCAGGACATCAGATAATTACAGGATCATTACTGCTTACCTGTACTGCTTCCTCTTATATATAGTAAAATTATCACTTTGAGCACAAATTTCTAATATATTGTAAAAATCAATTGCTGTTCTAACTAAAGTGTTTCATTTAATTATAAGAATGTATACTGTACATGAATATAGTGGAAAGCTTAAATATTTTGGGTTCCTGTACTATGGGCTACTTATATCTTTATATCAATTCATTTATTTCAATTCTTAACTGCTTTTTTGCAGACATACCTGTATTTCACAGGCAATAAACCCATGCCTGGTAATAAGCCAACTCATATATATTACAGCTAAGTAGAAAATCGTACCAACCCCATCCCCCTATATAGCTACTTTTAGTCAGATATTATATAAATATGACATTCATTAGCAGGTGACAGTGAATATTGTCAACCTGAGAAAACCATTGTCACCCGAGTCGGGGCCGAGGGTGACAATGAGTTTTTGAGGGTTGACAATATTCACTGTCACCTGCTAATGAATATGTCATATCTATTTTGTTACAACAAAAGTCTTTGTAGCTCCGAAACGGCAGCAAACCTCGATAATGACATCTTGTTTGTTGATAGTCTGCTGTTTACAATCGCTATCGCACCGTCGCTTGATAAAATTGGCTGTTGCCGTCAAACGTTCTTGTGACCATCACGGTGGGGAAACGAAGTGGTGAACGCACATGTTTCGTGCATGTGATATTTTTCTCTGTCTCATGGCAATATCATCCGCGCCCCTTAAAACCAATGTATTTTCAGAGGGTGACAGAGATTTTTGTTTAATATTCTCCCAACCAATCAAATAGCTAGAAATTCACTTGAGGTGTAACAAAATGGAATGTCCCCCTGGGCTTTTTGCAGGATATACCTATATAATAATAGTTTTCTCATTATTATATGTCTGACATGAACTGCCAAAGAACTGTGTTGAAGGAGGCAAGGAAGTCTAGTGGTAGGAAGCCGTGCTCGTGACTGAAGGGTTGCAGGTTCGAGTCACGGCACGGCACTGTGTTATATCTTTGAGCAAGATACTTGACTCCACTTGTTCCAGACTACTCAGCTGTAAATGAGTACGTGGTTGGGCAGTGCTAGTATTTTTGAATGCTAGCTGTTAGCGCCGAAATGGCAGCTATGGCTGTATGCTCCACAGGGAGTTCAGAAAGGTATTGGCTGGTTGCAAAGGCCCTATAACCACGGATAATAATTTGTGAACCACTTTGAGATGACCTACGAACTAGATTGTGATAAAGCGGTATACAAGAACTTCAAATTGTTATTACTGAATAGTACATAACTAGGATCGGTTTCTTATAAGATGTGTTATGGTTAAATTATGTGAATTATATGTAAATACTCGTGACTATACATGTAGTACAATTAACTGTCAATTTTTTTGTTAACCTTTTAAAATATTAATACGTACATTTAGGCTATCGCATGCATAATACCATTCATGAACTCATCTGTTTTGGGTTTTTATTTCAGAAATATTAACCCTCTGCCATTCTTATTACTCCATTAAATTAAATTGAACTAAAGTGGATAGATGAAAGACATCAAATGGTACATGTAACATTATAAGTAAATAGAATAAGCCTCAGTTTAGATACAAACTTGTTTGCTAATGTCCATATGCATGTCAGTAACAGGATGTCTAAAATGGGTGCATAATTGATATCTTATTAAATGTTACAAATCTTCATTTAAAGTGTTTAGGATGGGCGTTCATGTGCACCTTGTAGAATTAGTTTCATATTTTCGAAAAACTGGTGCATCTAAAGTTATCCTAGCTTTATATAGATATAGATTAAAACACAATGTATGTCAGCGCACTATAAGTTTGTACACTTAAATTTCAATAAGATTGTACTGAGAGCAATTGTCTGTCGCTTTGGAATTGACAAACCTCACAGAATATATATAATATACCGTTACCCGTACATATTTTGGACATCATATAAATTACAAAACTTAATATTCTTCTGAAACAAAGAATCAAAATTTAGCAAAGCTCTTTGTTCATTACATATTGTTTATCAAATTAATATTGTGCACTGAAAATGTTGCTGTATGTCATAATTAGAGGTTATATTATGATCATATGACCATTTTCATATCCTACTCTGTATCAATCTGAGACTCGACCATTCATGCACTTGCTGGTGTTGTGCAATGATCATGACGACCAGAGGATTAAGTCAAGTTGTCCGTACACCAACAGTGTTAGAGGTTTACACGGGGAGATACTTTTGACAAGCGCTGCATAGCAGTCGGTAAAAAAACATATCTGATAGAAAAAAGGACGACCAGCGGCCTCTTTTGTTATAGGAGTAGGTAAGGTGAAGGAAGATACAAGATTATTTATTTAACGTCGGATACCATAAACATACAAACATTAGCTTGGTAGAGCTATTTCTGCGACAAACAGCATAGCCATAGAAGTGATTGCAAAGTGACTGCCCAGTAAAGTAAAAACTGTTGTTGGTAAACATTATTTTTTTAATTTTGCTCTGTTCCATTAATTTGGCAATTTCCATCTTAGGGACTCCGAAACTGGTCACTCAACGCTTGATTAAAACTGGTTTAAAGTACACATAAACCCGTAATATATTGCATAATAATTAATCATATCCTGTTGTAGGAAAGTTGGTGTCAAATATACAGTAAAATACTTGCCAACAAGACATATATCTAACACAATCAAGAAAAGCATCAGAACTATTCATATAGAAGCATGCATGCGATACAAATTTTCAAAGAAAACTCGAAGATCAATGGTAGACTGCAGTTTAATTGCAACTTCGTAAAACATCGATCTACGCCCCCTTCCTCGATCGGAAAATGTACAATAAAAACGCACGCAATCGAATCGTGTCCATACAACAGTATTACTTCTCATGTGAAGACCGTGACACGGTACCAGAATTAAAGCATGCCAGTTGGGTCATCTTGACGACAACAACAACATAGACCAAAAATGCCGGAAGTAAATATTGTGATTCTTACCTTCCAACGAAGTTTTCCAGAACGCTGCTTTTACCGGCGCTTTGGCTTCCTACGACCGCTATTTGAGGGAGATCGAGAGACAATGGAACACCCAGGGAGACAAATGCATCTTGCAGCTTATTCACAACTGGAATAAGCTGCTCCATTCCAATATTCCCTGCCATTTTGTTCTTATTTTCGTGAAATGTCAGTTCAATTTCACTCTAAACACTTCATGATGGCGGATGACCCTATACTAGAATAATCAGGATCCCTTATGACGTTGACAAAATAATATATCTTGGAAAACACCTCTCAACACAATACTGATCAATAAAGATAGATTGAAAAGCAACAAAATTCAAAATATCTTAAATAAAGTAGATACAGTTTGGTTTTTAAAGTCCTAATGAGATTTTAAAATGAATTATTTTTAGTCGGTCATGGGAGATAACTCCGTTGATGACTCACATCGATCATCTGATGATCTCGTCAGAGGAAGTTCGGCCTAATGTAGTATGCAGAGACATATATATATATATAGGTATACGTCACTGCCTAAAATTAACTCATTAACACATATTTTTCAAGTTGAACCCTTTTGGTTATTTAGTTTATTTCATTTCTAAATGTTATTCGAAATATTTAATACTTTTTGTGGAAGTTAATGATGGTCTTTCGATGTAAGCGAACAATATGCTTTCAGCCGACTTTTCATTTTCGCAGATGTTAAAACAAACATCTACGTAACAATTAGGCAGGACATATACTCAGGACGGTTTCAGAATTTTACCGAGTATGAAATTGAAAATCTAGAAGTGCTCTGGTTCGATCTGAGGTTGGTTTAATCAATTCTCAAATAGTTTTCAATTTTAGCATTCGTGCCCAATGAAACAGTTTCATTTATACATATTCCCTCGAGTAGAATAAATAGCACTGCTGAGCGAAGGGAGGCAATTTTTTTCTGTTAAAAAAACCCTCAATAGATGCGGAAGTGCCGGAAAAGTTTGGACCCCACAAAATGTAATCCCTTACAATGATTACAATAATTTATATTAAACAATGTGTAGAAAGATATAGAACACAAGGGTGTCTGTTTTTTTAAACATATTTGTAAAGATCTTTTTCAATGACCTCTTATATCATTACAGTCCGGACAGGTTTTTTCAGTAGTGAATTTACAGCAGAACCTATCGGAGAAGTACCTATACCCGAACCAATGCAACTCAATACGGAGTTTCAAGATAGTGAGATAACAGAAGAAAGTGTAAGAAAGCAGAGACGTATATACTACATGGCTTTATATGTCTCTGAAGAAAAGAACAATATAAGTTCAATCAAAGTAAATCGCTGTGTCCCGATATGGTACATCCTAGATCGTCGAAAGAATTAGCTAATTCAATATGTTAACAATTATTTTCAATACCTCTCTTTAAGAAGGAACTGCCCCTCAATCGTGGACAATGGCAAAGTATAACCGCTTTATTTAAAAAGGGTGATATCAGATCCGGGAAACTATAGACCAGTAAGTCTGACAAGTGTAAACTATAGACCAGTAAGTCTGACAAGTGTAAACTATATATATAGACCAGTAAGTCTGACAAGTGTAAACTATATATATAGACCAGTATATAGGCCAGTAAGTCTGACAAGTGTAAACTATATAGATCTATATAGACCAGTAAGTCTGACAAGTGTAAACTATATATATAGACCAGTAAGTCTGACAAGTGTAAACTATATAGATCTATATAGACCAGTAAGTCTGACAAGTGTTGTTTGTAAAACTATGGAAAAAATATTACGCAGTAAAATGGTGTTGCATATGGGAGAATACAATTTATTAAGTGATAGGCAATTTGGATTTGGGGTCAACAGTGCTTCAATATTGCTTAAAATCACGGATGATTGACTTTGTTAAAAAAAAATGGCGGCTGTAATTTGCATATTCTTTTTACTGTCATGAATGTGGCTAGTTTCTCGTTTGAAACAAGTTCAAAGTTATGTTTTTGCTGTATATTGTGTTCCTTGTAAAATGCTTATTTAACAATATTCAGTTAAAATTGCCAGTGTATTTAAAAAAAAAAAAATGGCCGCCAAAACGGGAACGAAGGATTTGTTTCTATTGTTACAATGTATGTTTAAGTACGCATTCCTAAATACTGAGCGGAGCTAGGTGATTTTTAGCTTATTAAAATAAGTAAGATCCAAAATCGAATTCCCGATGGCTAACAAAGTGGGAGTCCGGACCCTTTTATCGTAATCAAACTTACAATTATACAATATCTTACTGTACACACATGCACCTAAACAGATTTAGATAAAGGTCAATAATAAATAGGCCCACACCTAATTAACAAGGGAAATATCAGCGGGTATTTATGAATGTTGTGATAAAACTGTAGATCATCGCGGCATGTTTTCACTCAGAATATCATTTCAATGTTATGTAATGAATTCTGTGGTCAACCCTTCTCGACGAACTTGTGTGTATACCGGTTAAAGCTCGTAAATGACATTGTGAGGAAGATCAACTTCAATTATGACATGATGTTCAATTCTGAAGGTAACGCTCGTTCATGACATTGTGTGCAAATGCAATGGTGAAGATAAAGCTGAATAATGACATTTTGTGTTTTCTGATGGTCAGCGATCGTTAATGACATTTTGTGTATTCTGAAGGTCAGCGATCGTTAATGACACGATGTATATTATGAAGGTCAGCGATCGTTAATGACATTTTGTGTATTCTGAAGGTCAGCGATCGTAAATTACATTTTGTGTATTCTGAAGGTCAGCGATCGTTAATGACACGATGTATATTATGAAGGTCAGCGATCGTTAATGACATTTTGTGTGTCGTTAATGACATTTGACGTTTTGTGTGTCTGAGCGATCGTTAATGACACTGTGTGTATTCTGAAAGGTCAGCGATCGTTAATGACATTTTGTGTGTCGTTAATGACATTTTGTGTATTCTGAGGGTGAGCGATCGTTAATGACATTTTGTGTGTCTGAAGGTCAGCGTATCGTTAATGACATTTTGTGTATTCTGAAGGTCAGCGATCGTTAATGACGTTTTGTGTGTCTGAAGGTCAGCGATCGCTAATGACATTTTGTGTGTCTGAAGGGCAGCGATCGTTAATGACATTTTGTGTGTCTGAAGGTCAGCGATCGTTAATGACACTGTGTGCAATGCTGAATATCAAGCTCACATTGATTTCTGGAGGTTAACACTCCTCCATAACATGATTGTCTGAAAGTCAACACTCCTCTATGATATTGTTATCTGGAGGTCAACACTTCTGTATGGTATTTTGACTAGAGGTCAACACTTTATGACATTTTCACTGGAGGTCAACATTCCTCTGTGATATTTTCACTGGAGGTCAACATTTCTCTATAACATTGTCACTGGAGGCCAACACTCCTCTATGACATTGTCACTGATGGTCAACACTCCTCTATAACATTGTCGCTGGAGGTCAACACTTCTCTATGACATTGTCACTGGAGGTCAACACTCAGCTATGACATTGTCACTGGAGGTCAACACTTCTCTATGACATTGTCGCTGGAGGTCAACACTCCTCTATGCCATTGTCACTGGAGGTCAACAGTCAGCTATGACATTGCCACTGGAGGTCAACAGTCCTCTATGACATTGTCACAAGAGGTCAACACTCAGCAATGAAATTGTCACTGGAGGTCAGCACTCAGCTATGACAATGGCATAGAGGAGAGTTGACCTCCAGTGAAAATGTCAGAAAGTGTTGACCTCTAGTCAAAATACCATACAGAAGTGTTGACCTCCAGTCACAATGTCATAGCTGCGTGTTGACCTCCAGTAACAATGTCATAGAGAAGTGGTGACCTGCAGCGACAATGTTATAGAGAAATGTTGACCTCCAGTGGCAATGTCATAGCTGACTGTTGGCCTCCAGTGACAATATCATAGCTGAGGGTTGCCCTCCAGTGACAATGTCACTGGAGGTCAACACTCAGCTATGACATTGTCACTGGAGGTCAACACTCATCTATGCCATTGTCACTGGAGGCCAACACTCAGCTATGACATTGTCACTGGAGGTCAACACTCCTCTATGACATTGTCACTTGAGGTCAACACTCAGCTATGACATTGTCACTGGAGGCCAACACTCCTCTATGACATTTATACTGGAGGTCAACACTCCTCTATGACATTTTCACTGGAGGTCAACACTCCTCTATGCCATTGTCACTGGAGGTCAACACTCCTCTATGACATTGTCACTAGAGGTCAACACTCCTCTGTGACATTGTTATTTGGGGGTTAACGAGCGCTCCTCCACGGTAACTGATCATAAGGGCAGTCGGTTCTAAAGTGAGATGCGAATGCATTTTGAGTATTGTCCTAGTGCATTCTGTATGCGTTTATATTCAATTGTCATTCTCTTTTTTAACCTAAAACTTAAATTTAATAAATGCACGTTATTAGACACCAAAAATGAGTGACCAGTCACGCATTCAACCCTATCCATAAATGGTAATAGTTTGCCAGAACTAGATTCTATTAGTATTGGGGACAAACTCAAGATCATCTTAAACCGCGAGATAAGAAAGGAAACAGTCATCACTTAGAGATATCTTAGATATAGTTCTTGGGTATCAATCTAATTTAAATAAAATCATAATTGTCGTTCAATTACAATATTACACCCAACACACTATAGCACATCAAGGGAAACAGTGCGCAGCTACTTCAGCGTTATCTAATTGCGTTATTACGACAGGGGAAGCTAAATATTTCAAACCGAAGAAAGATTAAGTGACTGGTTTCATCTGATAGGATGCATCCTATTCTTCATTCTCTGTGTAGTGGGGACGAAGTTCATTTTCAAGTCGACATGACGGTAAACCAGAGGAACAAGGACGGAAATCAACGGTTTATGGCCGACATGACTGTGACTACCAACCCGCGGTCAAGGTGGGTTGGTTGTACAGGGTTTAACATCTTAGCAACAGCTAAGGTAGTTAAGGACGTGCCTCCATGTGTGCTGTGTATGTGTGCCTCCTTGTGACATAGCGCGGAACTGATGCCGACTTCATAGTGCTATCACACTGAAAAACCGTGCCGAAGGCCCCCAGAACAGCATTCGCCTGGTCACATTATACTGACAACGGGTGAACTAGTTGTTGCCATTACTCTTAAGCAGGAAACAGCAACTACCCTTTTTAGGACTTTGGTCGTACGATTGATAGTGACTACATGATTTAGTCAATCTATTGCGGATAACCCAATCAAGTACATAAGGAAGTGGTTGGATACCAAAGTATTGATAATACAGAGGAGCAGGTGGTCGAACAGTTGAGA